CCACGTACCCTTGTAGACCGTAAGCGGAAAAGTTATGACAACGTGGTTGATGTAGTCGTACGTCTTCACGATCGACCGATCCTAGTACCGAAAGTACGGCACCTCCGCGATCTACACACGTTCAGCTCGGTGACGTCCCACGAACTCACGATCCAGCAGAGTGTCGAGGGAGAGCTTCGTCAGCACGACGGCGTGATGAAGGTGATGATGATGCTACTGGAACAGGGCTTCGCCTAAGCACCGCTACGATATGACCTAGGAGAATTATGGTGGAGGGGGGCACCGCACACGGCTGGAAACAATCAACTTTCGTGTTCTAGTGTGCCCCTGCCCCCGTATATAAAGGAGCAAGGGGGAGGCCGGTCGGCCCTTGGGACGCGCCGGGAGAGGAGGAGTCCTCTTCCTAGTAGGAGTAGGACTCCCCTTTCCTACTCCTACTAGGAGGGGGAAAGGAAGGAGGAGAGGGAGAAGGAAAGGGGCGCCCACCCCCTTCCCTAGTCCAATTAGGACCAGAGGGGGAGGGGGTGCATGGCCTGCCCTGGCCGGTCCTCTCTCTCTCCACTAAGGCCCATGTGGCCCATTAGTTCTCCTCGGGGGTTCCGCTAACCCTCTGGCACTCCGGTTTTCTCCGGAATCATCCGGAACACTTTTGGTGTCTGAATATAGCCGTCCAATATATCAATCTTTATGTCTAGACCATTTTGAGACTCCTCGTCATGTCCGTGATCAAATCCGGGACTCCGAACTACCTTCGGTACATCAAAACACATAAATGCATAATACCGATCGTCACCGAATGTTAAGCGTGCGGACCCTACGGGTTCGAGAACTATGTAGACATGACCGAGAAGCGTCTCGAGTCAATAACCAATAGCGGAACTTGGATGTTCATATTGGCTCCCACATATTCTACGAAGATCTTTATCGGTCAAACCGCATAACAACATACGTTGTTCCCTTTGTTATCGGTATGTTACTTGCCCGAGATTCGATCGTCGATATCTCAATACCTAGTTCAATCTCGTTACCGGCAAGTCTCTTTACTCGTTCCGTAATGCATCCTCCCGCAACTAACTCATTAGTCACATTGCTTGCAAGGCTTATAGTGATGTGCATTACCGAGAGGGCCCAGAGATACCTCTCCAACAATCGGAGTGACAAATCCTAATCTCGATCTATGCCAACTCAACAAACACCATCGAAGACACCTGTAGAGCACCTTTATAATCACCCAATTATGTTGTGATGTTTGGTAGCACACAAAGTGTTCCCCCGGTATTTGGGAGTTGCATGATCTCATAGTCATAGGAACATGTATAAGTTATGGAGAAAGCAATAGCAACAAACTAAACGATCATCGTGCTAAGCTAATGGATGGGTCAAGTCAATCACATCATACTGTAATGATGTGATCCCGTTAATCAAATGACAACTCATGTCTATGGTTAGGAAACATAATCATCATTGATTCAACGAGCTAGTCAAGTAGAGGCATACTAGTGACATTATGTTTGTCTATGTATTCACACATGTACTAAGTTTCTGGTTAATACAATTCTAGCATGAATAATAAACATTTATCATGATATAAGGAAATATAAATAACAACTTTATTATTTCCTCTAGGGCATATTTCCTTCATCACCCACATTCATAGCGCGCCAGCTGATGTGTTGCCTGATTGGCCAGCCACGGGTTATAAATCGACATTGGCTCTCCTCCAAACCCTACTCCCTAGCCGCCACCACCATTTCCACTCTTTCCCCACAGGATTCCCATTTCCATCGTCATATCCGAGCTTGCCGCTATCATGCCTAAATCGTGCCACCCTACACTCATTGTTGCACCCTCACAATATTGTGTCATCGCCCAATATAGTATACCGTGCTCTCATCTGAGCGGCGCGCCCAACTTGTGCAGAGGACCGCGCATATATGACAACGGGTGAGGCATCAAAAGCCGTTGATAGAAATCCGATCTCAGAGGAGGGGGAGAACGATGACAGTATGGAGGTGGAGGAGGAGCTCATCGTCGCTGGATTCAAGGTCACTGGCATGGGAATCCGCCTCCTCTTGTGGGAGGAGGCAGAGACACAGTACCATGCCGCCCTTGTCAAGGAGGCGAGGCACCACACAGCGGAGGCGCAAGTCAAAGTCAAGTGTGTCACTATCGTCATCATGGTCGAGCTCCTTGCCAACCTAGACCTCGTCATCAAGAACAGTGCCGACCTTGGGGTTGTTAATGATGAGGGAGCAAATGTTCACCTAGATTGACGATGTGGACTCTAACTCTGATGACATGTCATGAATTTTCCCAGTCGCCAATGCCACAAGACCGGTGGCTCCGGCACCACGGTGATAGAGATCTCGTCCGACAAGGAGTAGTAGTAGTTTATTTATCTTGTTTTAGATCATTTTAGTGTTTAAGTATGATATGCTTATGTTCAATGTGATAGTATTGCGTAATTATGCAATGTATCCCGTCTAAATTTATATGAAAATTTGAGCATTTTGGTGGGTCATAGATGGGGTTGTCTACGGTAGTGTAAAAGTAAAGTAGAACTGTTTTGGGCTGACTGGCATTTGATGGCAACTAGTAATTAGTAACGGTACATTGAGTACAACATGAGGTGATTGTTGTGTGAAGACATTTGGTTCATATTTTGATGAAACTAATTATAATTCTCTTGATTCAACACAGATAGATGCGATGGAGGAAGAGGTGGATTCCGTAGTGGAGTCTTTTACGAAGAAAGGGTCAGGAAAGAATAAGTAGCAGGTGTATATGGAGAGTAGCAATTCGGTGCCCAGGCTCATCAGCACCTTCGATGATTTTTTAAAACAAATACTAGAAAAAAGTTAATAAATTCCAATTTTCTTTGCATGGTAGATAATTTGGTGTGTGAGGTGCGTTCCAAATTTCTGATCATTTGGACATCTAAGTAGCTCTCGGCAAAAAATAAAAATTTGGGGTCTTTAAAAAAGTTTACTATTCATGTATTGTTGTGGCCCAATTTGTCTTTTTTATGGTTGGTTGACGGTCATTCATATTGTTGTATGTTGGAAATATGCCCTAGAGGCAATCAAGTCGAATGATTTTTTGTGTGTGTTTACGATGTTACTAATATAGTCCTTAAACACTATCAATAATATATATTGACAAGTGCGTGACTTGTATGTGAGACTATGCATTGTATGGTGTGTTCCAAATGGTCCCTGGTCAGTAGAAGGATGAGACCAAACTCGCACCCAACTAGACTGGCATACAACACAATAGATATCTTGATCTCACTCACCATGTAGCACTAGATTCTAGCCGAATAGCATGGACTCAGTGGGATTTGAGTTCAGCTCCTGGAAGTCCGAACCGGGCTCAGATAACTTGTCATGTCAGATAGGCCCAATGATGGGACCCAGCAAAAGGTCATCTATTAGTCTCAAGTATGACATGTGTTATGTGTCCAAGAACTAAGGTCGGTGCATGGACTCAGGACGATGACCGGCCTACTTAGGGTCAACCAAATGTTACTCCGTTACTGAGCAGTTATAAATTTTGGTTTTGCACTAGTCCAAACTCATGCCATGAGATATGGTGAACTAAGAAATGATTTTCCCTCTCCGACTTGGGGAGGTATAATATGGACGCCTCATGTGATCCTACTCGAATAAGCATGGCCATGTGACATGGATTAAGTGTTAATCCGGTTTCGGGTGTCGGCATCTCATGACGAAAAAGAAGTTGGGCTGCACAAGAATGATCGATTCACCTTGAGCCTGGCAACATATCATGAGGCAAAAGGAACACACGTTGTACTAGTTCACCAGATCGGGTTCATCGAACACTTGGAGTTTACATGTCTTGCTAGAAGCAGCTACCAACTAGCCGAGTTGGATGTGAATCTGACTCGTGGCCATGTCTATATGAACCTAAGGGGTTGTGTGCTTAAAGAAAGGAACCCATGAGGTCAGATCCAACTTTGCAGGTCGGATGTGATCTAACCTAAACTTGGGTCTTGGGATGAGTAGATCCTGGGTCGTGGAGTCCTAGTGGGACTCATGTGTTGACTATCCTAGTGAGACCAACACTGTCTTTGAATCTCATGTGGTAGTGTTTGATGTCGCTCTTTTCCTAAGATGGTCTCAGAACCTATATTAGAAGGCATTCGCAAGTATTTTTCATTCATAGTTTGTGTTTGGACATTGAGTGCTTTAACCTCTTATCTAACATTTGTTGGGCAGCCCTTTCTGAAATACACCAAAGACTTACTATTATTAATGATTTGTCCGGAAGCCTAAGAGTAAGACTGAAGAAGGTTTGACACCTCTGTTTCCCCTGAACATTTGCCTTGAAAAACAACAGGCTATCATCTGCAAACAACAAATGGTTAACAGGCGGCGCCGATGGAGCCACTTGGATTTTATTGAGCCGAGACAATTGATGTCTGGATTTGAGGAGGCCTGAGAGGCCCTCTGCTACTAACAAGAAAAGGTAGGGTGAAATTGGTCTCCCTGCCGAATACCTCTGGTGGGTTTGAACTCATCAAGCTTCTTGCCATTGAATAAAAATGAACAAGTGATGGAGTTAACCATACTCATTACTATAGAAGCCTAAATGTTAGAGAAACCATGCTTGAGCATTATTGCTTCCAAATATGGTCACTCAATTCTATCATATGCCTTTATCATGTCCAACTTAAACGCACAATGGCGGTGTTTCAGAGCTTTGTTCTGCTTCATAAAATGCAAACACTCATAGGCCACAATTATGTTATCTGTGATGAGACGCTCAGGAACAAAAGCGGACTGTTGCGATGAGATGGTCTCAGGAAGTACCACTTTCAACCGATTAGCAACAACTTTGGAAGCAATTTTATAGAGCGTGTTGCAAAGACTAATGGGGCGAAACTTGATCAATGAGGTGGGATTTCTTACCTTTGGTATAAGAACCAAATAAGTTTTGTTAATGCTCTAAGCACTCTCTTCCCCTTCCACAGTACGCAGGACTGCCTTCATCACCCCATCTCCACAAATACCCTAGTGCTTCTGGAAGAAGTGAGCTGGGAAGGCATTAGGACCCGGGGCCTTCGTAGAAAAAATTTGAAACAGTGCAATCTTTTCCTTCTTTTTTAGAGATGGACTACTCGAATGTTGGACAGGTGAAGCACTAATGGACCAGAGGGTATCCTCATGTCATGTTCCATTAGTGGGGATAGAACTAATGGACCGGAGGGTATCCCCATGCCCTGTATCTTTCGGGGATTGGATGGAGGAGAGATTTTAGGCAAGTGCACGAGCGATGTATTAGAAATGTATTAAAAATTATTCTGCATGTATTATATTCATCATGTATAAAAATGTTCTTCATGTTTTTCTAACGATGTTTATTGTGTATTGAAAAAATGTTAGTCAGTTGTTTAGAAAATGTTCATTGTGTATTCAAAATGTACCAAAAATCATTCCTAGTGTATTATAAAATATTCATCATGTTTTTCTAACGATGTTTATTGTGTATTCGAAAAATGTTAGTCGGTTGTTTAGAAAATATTCATTGTGTATTCAACATGTATCAAAAATTATTCCTAGTGTATTACAAAATATTCATCATGTATTAAAAATGTTCATCATGTTTTTCTAACTATGTTTATTGTGTATATAAAAATGTTAGTCAATTGTTTAGAAAATATTCATTGTGTATTAGAAATGTTCGTTAAACCATAAGGAATTTGGAAAATTTACATGAACAAGTTCTGTCTTATTGATATCATTTGCATCATTTCCAGAAGCGATATGAAAAAAAAAACACAAAATATGCTCTATGCGACTCGATGGGGTTCACGCCACTTTCAAAACTATTCCTTAAACTAAAGGAATGTAAAAAATTGGTCTAAAAGAAAAAGTTTCGCCTAATTCATATCTTTCCAATGGCATAAGAGCATCTCCAACATGCACACAAAAACTGCTCCGCGCGCTAAAATTCGGGTTTTTTGGGCGCCAAACAGAATTCCGACGAAAAAGCACAAAATAATTCATCCAACGAGCAGTTCACAACTTTCTACGTTATACAATTTCAGGCTAGTGCTGCCGTTCTAAACCAGCGTACAAAATAGTTATTCTACAATACGTGTGTGTGAACTCTTTTCAGAATTTTTTGAAGTGCGGAAAAAATATTTTTGATGATAAAAAAATAATAAAGGTCTCCCTTTTCGCTTGCTAGCGATCGGCGGAAGAAAAGCAGCCGCACATTTTTCCACAGACCATTCTCGCTTGTTTGGAGGCTGCATAAGGAGTCTTTTTTTTTTTGAGAACCACATAAGGAGTCAATTTTAGAATAAAAGGAGATACAACATGGTACCACCTTCAGATGATGGACAACAAAAAGCGGCCAATTCCATGCATGCACAGAAACCAAACTAATGAACCTAGTCGGATATCACACTCGTTCGCTGGGACCCATTTCTCTCCATGACAGCCGATCATCATACTGAACGCACCCACTTGGCCTGTAAACAGTTTTAGCTCTAAGAGCATATATGCTCCAAGAAATCATCGTCAGTCAAATATCTCCTGGGCTTCAATTTTGCTGTGTTGTCTGCAAGGTTCGGTCAAAGGTACACCATTAGCACAGAAAACCAAATACTGTGAGATTGAATATCTTCATCTTATTCTACTCCACAGGCCAATTTTTTAGATCCAGCACCCATTTATGAATATTCGAGGTAAGAAACCAAATAATGTCGACAGGTATGCGTGCACCCTCTGGTCCACACGATTCTGAACAAAAATGCAAAAAATACGGAATTGCAATGTCATGCAAACATTTTGAATCCTACAGAATTGAATTTGAAGAAATGCTTGTTTGATTGTATCATAGACTGGGGGATGAGGGTGGGGAGGTGGGGAGGATGATTCTTCCCAAGAAGTTTGAGTCAATGGTATTTTTTCTATCAAATGTAGTGCAGTGGAATGCTTAGGAAAAATCCTATGGTGTACAATCCTACAAATCAAAGAACCATCATTAGGAGAATTTCCCAAGGATTTCAACTGTCCAGAATTCCGACTAACATCCTTTGAAATTTGAATCAAAGAGGACTTGCTTGCACGAAAGCGCAAACATTGGAAGTCCAGAAGCATGAAAAAGATTCAAGAAAAAACTGTGTGAACTCACTGCTCATCCTTAGAAACTCGGTAGTACTTCTCGGCAAGCTGCCTCTGACCAATAAGCTGAACAAACCGCTCATCATGGGTGATTACAATCAGCTGGAAGTTCTCCTGGCCTTTTCTGCTTTCCATTATTCTATGGCACACACAAGAGACTCAGTTAATGGTAGAATAAGCTCCAAAATGATAATATAATTGCCATGCCTAAGGTTTACCTCAATAGGGCAGCAGCTAGGCTCTCCGCATTCGGCCCGTCAAGATTGGTGGTTGGCTCATCCAGAGCTAATATGCCACAATTCAGACAGAATGTCTCTGCCAGTGCCAGTCTGATTATGAGAGAAGCAAGAACCTGAACAGCAGTGGAGATAACTTTGAGATATGATTCTCCATGTTCAACAGATTCATAAGGTCATGCTACCACAGTTATTGGTTCAAACAAGACTGCAAAGAAGATGTTACTACAGCAACCGAAGTTTACCACGACAAAAGAAACAAAAAAAAAGTTCACCTTCTGACCAGCACTGCATCGTCCTCGCATTTCCAGCTCAGCACCACCATTTTGCATGACAACCTACAAGATGGTTCAAACAGGCAAATGTAACAGCACTCCAAGCAACTCGGTTAGTCAAACGTGTAGCTAATTTAACTTACACGATAGCTATATGGTCGAGTGCCTGCACCCTCAGAGTCAGAACTGATGCTTATGCAATCAATATCTTGGCCTCTGTATGTCTGCTGCCACAGTTCCTTTATTATTTTATTTATCTCCTCCATTTTCATGGTATGGAACCGCATAAGAGCCCTACAGAAATACAAGTGTGCCATCGTAAAGAAAGTTTAAGATGAAGCGCTGAAAGGCTAAAGAAGGATTTACTAGCAGAAGGGAGCATCCATATATTCTGGAAGGGGTCATTTTTGCCTCAACTTTCAGTGAAAGGTCAGATTTGCCGTTTTGCCGTGAAAGGGTACTCACTTATCCAAAGCAGTATAGTATCGGTCCAAGTCCTTATTTGCCATCTCAGTTGTCTGCGACCACATCAGTTTTCTTATCAAGTAAAAAGATCAGAAAGTTGGAGAAACTGAACCTGGAATATCATGCCACCTACCTTAAGTTGGAGAAGTTGGTTAAAATATCTCTTCTCAATATCCTTATATTGTGTCTGTTTAAGCTCAAGTTTGTGCTTTGAAATATTACTTTGGTAAACAGGAATTGTTCCTTCACACCTACTCCCTCCGTTCCAAATTACTTGCCGCGGGTATGTATGTATCTAGATGTATTTTAGTTCTAGATACATCCATTTCTGCGACGAGTAATTTGAAACGGAGGGAGTATTATACTGTAAGGATTGCCAAAAAAAATCAAATATCAAGGTGTCAGCCATATGTGATACAGTTTCACACTAAGAAATAGAGTAAAATGCATGGCGTGTCCTTGAACTTCCAAATTGTGTCACTTAGATGCTTGTACTATGAAATTGCTCGTTTTAGATATTTTGTGCATTACGCAAGTCAATTAGGTGTGAGGAGGAGGAGGAGGTTAGCCTTGATGGCAAGGCGGTACCCCAGAAGGACACCTTCGGTATTTGGGGTCAATGCTGCAGGAGGATGGGGGTATTGATGAAGATGTGAACCATCGAATCAAAGCTGGATGGATGAAGTGGCGCCAAGCTTCTGGCATTCTCTATGACAAGAGAGTGCCACAAAAGCTAAAAGGCAAGATCTACAGGACGGCGGTTCGACCCGCAATGTTGTATGGCGCTGAGTGTAGGCTGACTAAAAGGCGACATGTTCAACAGTTAGTGTGGCAGAGATGCGTATGTTGAGATGGATGTGTGGCCACACGAGGAAGGATCGAGTCCGGAATGATGATATACGAGATAGAGTTGGGGTAGCACCAAGTGGAGAGAAGCTTGTCCAACATCGTCTGAGATGGTTTGGGCATATTCAGCGCAGGCCTCCAGAAGCTTCAGTGCATAGCGGACGGCTAAAGCGTGCGGAGAATGTCAAGAGAGGGCGGGGTAGACCGAATTAGACATGGGAGGAGTCCGTTAAGAGAGACCTGAAGGATTGGAGTATCACCAAAGAGCTAGCTATGGACAGGGGTGCGTGGAAGCTTGCTATCCATGTGCCAGAGCCAGATCTTATGGGTTTCACCTCTAGCCTACCCCAACTTGTTTGGGACTAAAGGCTTTGTTGTTATTGTTGTTGTTGTTGCACGCAAGTCAATTAGGCCAGGACATCTGATGACTCATTAATTTACCATAAGGACTATCACATGCATTTTCATATTACCAGGACCTAGGTGACACACCTCTGAAAGTTGAAGATTGGACATGCATTTTTACTCTTCAGAAATGTATAATATATGTACTATCTGGTCAAATGTATGTTCATGAGTCCCTAAATAGGTATAAGAAAAGAATGGCATTTATTACATGCAACTTTGTCAATTATTTGGAACGAGAGAAACACAATACCTCTGAAAGAAGCCTCTCCTTCTCTTGAGCATGCCGCTTATGATCAGCTCCTATAGTGGATTTGCTGCCGATAGAAAGCACATTTTCTTCAAGTAACTCGATATCATGAGCAAGTCGATCCACTTCAGCCTTTGTTTTCCTGTAGTTCAGATTGTCATCGATGTTTCTTTTCAATTGATCTTGGCTCCGCAATAGCTGTTTGCTCTTGTCAAGCTCAACCGAGATGTCTTGCTTTCTTGCCTCACATTTCTGTAACTGAGACAGGGATAGGGTATGCCTTTCCTGCAGTTCATTAAGCTTCTCTACTTTCTTTGCATCCAGGTACCTGAGAGGGATTTTTTTAGTCAAAGTAAGTGGGAAAGGTGGGACAAATTGAAAGAGAAGGAGTGGAAAAAATATATACTCTTTGATGCGTGTGTTAAGGGTTCCAAGTGCATCTATTTCTTGCTGGAATCCCCTTTTTCTTTCAGCCAGCTGATCATACTCCTGATCAAGCCTTTCCTTCAAAGCTTTATGCTCTTGCAACAAGCTTTCTCTCTCTTTTGACAATGGAACAAGAGCCTCTTCTAAATGCTGCATCCATAAGAAATAAACATTTAGCATGAATTAGATCATCGTGCACAGGTGCAACAGTTACAGTGTCATTGATGCACAAAACTAGAGATATTTACCCAAAACCACCATAGTTGGGGCTAGGTAACAACTTGGTACAACATTTGAGCCAAGGTACGAGGAACCACCATATCTACGTCTAACGAATAACGAAGAGCACTGATTGTCTGGTAAGCTCACGAAAACAGCGAAACTGACATGTTGGGACCCACCTGCCAGGCTGACGTGGCAAAGACCAAGCACAAAAAAAGTGTTGACCAGGTGAGGTGGCAGATGATTTCTATGGCATTGCATCGAGCAGCTTGTGGGCGGCCGACCCATCTCTGCCCATGCGAGCCGAGAGCTCCATGGACATGGCAGCCGAGCCCCTGCTCAAGCTAGCCCAGGGCCGCCTCAGCCTGTTCCCCGCACGCCATGAACCCTCGAAGCCCACTGGCGCCCCCGCCGGCATGGACGGCCGAGCCGAGAGCTCCATGGCCACCATGGCCACGGCAGCCGAGCCCTGCTCGAGCTAGTCCATGTCAGGATCTCCTTGGGTCTGACAGCCCAGGGCCGCCTCACGCCTGGTGTCGGCGTGCTGGCCTGCCAGCAGGGCCAGCGAGGAGGCGCAGCTCCCACGCTGCCTCCTGGACACGGCGACGGCGGCGGGCGGCGCGACGGAGTTCGCTGGCGAGTCCGCCATGGATGACGACGGTCATCTTCTTCACGCCTGGCGTCGGTGCGTCCGAGCACGCATGCGTGCTCAAGGTGAGCCACTCGCCCCTTCCCCACTTGCCCGCGCCGCCGCGTATGCCAGCTTCGGCAAGGTGGTCACCGCCTTGGTAGGAGGACATGAAGAGCTGTGTGAGCTGGCGGACGGGATGGAGGCGTCCGGCCCGCCGTTCCTCTGGTCACTGCTCCGGCGTGCCCATGGCATGCGTGCCTTCCTCAGTGACCAGAGGATGAACGCACAAAAGGTGCTCGATGGAATGCTCCATAGAAAAAATGTTGTGAAGAAGATGACCGTCTAGTCATTGACAGGTGGGGCCTGCATCTCATTTGACACATCGGCCGGTCAAACTTATTTGTCTTCACCATGTCAGCCCGACAGGTGGGGCCAACTTGTTAGTTTTGTTGTTTTCACGAGTTTATCAGACAATCAGTGCTCATGCCCTGATTGAAATGTGGTATCAAGTTGGTACCCTAGCCCAACTGTGGTGGTTTTGGGTAAATATCTCGCAAAACTACAGTACATAGGAGTGCAACAACAAGAATAATGAGATCATGCCTTCAGGGTTAAAATCTAGACCATCTGTCACAAGTATAATTTGCATGCACCCAGTACTTCTCAAAGTTGGTAAGTGAGCTATAAACTGATCAAACTAGTGGGTGGCCCTTAATATTACCCAGTTCCATATGAAAAAACATTTGGAATTGAGTCCAGTATTAATGCTCCCCAATTCACAAGTCATCCAAACAACAGAAATAGAATTGTGGACAAATCCATTTCAACCTGAAATTGAATGGAAGACCCAATACCATTGACCTAATTCAGTCCCAACATCCAGACAGACCCAGAGACTTCACTCCGGTACAGTATTTCAGTAGAGAAACTATTAACCAGAGAAATGGAAGTTCAGTGAATGACGAATACCTTCTGATCTATGATCAGTTGCTCTTTTTCCTCGGCAAAAAGTACCAAATCTTCTTCAGCCTTTTTGAACTTCAGCAATACACTTGAGGCTCTTAGTTTTTCTTCCCTAAGAGCATGCCACCGCATCTGAGCATTTGACAGATCCTCGCTAAGTATTTTTTGCTGATCCCTGAGATCGTCCACTTCACTAATCAATGTGTCCCTGCCAGACAGATGTGTAAGCAGACCAGCATACTTGAGCCTCCAAGAGCAAGTCATAAAAGAAGTAAGAAGAATAAGCTAATTCAATTGTTTCATGGTTGACAGATTGAATATTTAACATTTGAACGCACTTCGCATATGTTTGATTGATCACCAAAGCCAACCCTGAGGTCATTCGAGCTTTTCCTGGGAGTATGGCATCGGTTACATACTTCAGCGCCGTAGCGCCTGGTATGAGCCTCGTGGAACCAATATTTCGTCAATGACCAATGTCTTGGCTCTGGCTTGCATAGTGTCAAACATACATGCCAAATTGCCAATGCTCTTTAGCCAACTCTAGTTCATTTTTCTCGCCAGCATTGACCAATAAATGGATATACATGGAAATGGAAAGGAGAACACAAAAAGGCAACGATACACTACATGGCAAGTTTGGTCGGATAATGTGGGGTGGTTGGGATGGATCATGGGTAATAATTTCAGTGTTCCTATTAATTTCCAAAGGTTACTAGAATTAAGTTGTCTGAAGAACTATTTTCTCAATTCCCAGGCAGAGGATCTTATAATTCTGGGGTAAATCGAAAACCATTACCTTGCCCTCTGCACAGAGTTCAGCTCCAACTGGATTTCCTCGACAGATTTAACACCTTGGCCACGAGAATCAAGCTTATACTCAAGATCTTTGACTTGTGGTTCTAACTCCTGTATTTCTTGCACATGCCTGTTGATAGTATCAACTGGATGTAACAAGACTTCGACTCCATCCCTGTCCATTTTAACTTGAGCAAGAGCACTCACAAGCTGCAACGTATCAATCATACAAGTCACAGCAGAGCAAAATAGAGAATACGTCATAAATTATGTTTATAAATAGATCCTACATTTACTGTTGGGTAACTAAAAGTGAATATCCATGATTTCTCAGGAGACAGCGGACCTGAACTGTGTTTGCAAAAGGTTCAAGTAAGTTTCTCAAATGACAATGCTCCTATCAACCAGACCATTATATCAATTACCCAAAGTAACATCACACAATGTCGAAGGGCTTAAGCTTAAGAACAGCCCAAACAACCATCATACGGATGTGACCTAGGAGATTTGCAAACAAAATAATTTACCAACCCTCTGAAGAGGATGAAACATTCTGTGGCCTCTTCCCAAAGAGCATAATATCTACACAAGTGCACTTGTACATCCGTATTATAAACCGATTTACTACAACTTGACACTTGACGTAGATAGAGGATAGCTAGAATTATGCCTCGGGAGTGGAGAATCTTTATTAGGACACATAGTAGAGCTAAGAAACACAGGTCATCTAAGGTATTATGTTTGACTGTCTCTATCTTTATTTTGCGTATGAGAATAAATAAATAAAGTGGTGTCGATAGTGATGACTAACGTCTTCGAATATCTGCGCCTTCTCACTTTCATCTGCCAAAAGTTGTTCCAAATCCTTCTCTGCTAAAGGTATGGTCTCTTTCCCCAGTTTCACATATTCATCATAAACCACATGGAGATTATCCAATTGATCGAAAAACTCTTCAGCATTTGATAATTCGATTGCCAGTACATTCAGGCGCTCTGCGGTACTTGTACCTGTAGTCCTTTGCTGAAAGATGCACCAGACAACAACATCAACAGAAAGAAATCATCCAGCACAAAGTAACTCTAAATCAAACGAAAAAGGTAGCTATGTTTACTAGATCATCCACCTTCTTTACAAAGAGGTCCTCTTCATCAGGTGTGAAAGCACGATCACAGCAAGGACACTTGTGCTGCTGGCGGGCCACTTTTTCAAAAGGTTCATACATTTGCCGCATTCCCTTTGCATAATTGTACGTACTGCAAATAGGAAGAAAGCTTTGAATCTGGGCATCGAAAGAAGATGTGGCTTAAAGAGATAGCTACAATTATGGATACCTACTTTGTTTGTTTATCTCTGTCGTCCATGGCATCTTTCAGAATCTTGGGGTAAGTGTTGATGTCAACAGATACCTTAGTAATGGGTTGAAGTTTCGAATTCAGATGGTTTCTTTTTGCTGCATGAAAGGTAACATTTATGGAATTCAGATGGTTACCCTTGATCCCTATGTAGTGCTAGTTGGAACAACTAGAAGGTCCATACTACACCATGAGACAAAATCAAGCATGCCCAATAGTCCAGTGTGGTGCATTGTCCAATACATTGATAATCAAAATGGATCTTTCACATACTTTGTTTACTTTCACTTTATTCTGGATAAGAATGTAACCGTAGGTCAGGGAAATTATGTCTAAGGAACAATTTCAACTGCATACACTCTACTTAGTTGGCAGTGAACCCGTCATTGTCCCAGCGTACCAACTCAAAATGATGGAATGATAATACATCTTAAAAGGAAAAGGCGAGATATAGTGTGCACCTCTCAGATTTTGATTTTCTAAATTTCATACATAGTGGAGCTTTTACATGTCAAAAAAAGCATCATCAACTTTTTATGAAATAAGCAAAGCATGCAGCGGTTGTATCCAAATTTACCGTCCAAATCTTTTTGGAGCTTTGACAAGTGGCTTCTAGCAGCAGAAATTTTCATTTGTGCCAATTTCAACTGCTGTTCCGCTTCCAGAGATTTTGAGCTCAAATCATTGTATTCCGCGTCTACAAACCTGAGCCAAGCAGAGTTTCGTGGTACCATTAACAAACAGTAGCAAAAAATACAAAGTTCCACATGTGGTATAATCTGTAAGGCAGCATGAAAGCATGACAAATTACTACTCCCTCCGTCCCATATAATATAAGAGCGTTTTGACACTACAGATTGCTAGTTGGGTGTGTCGAGTCAAATGCAACATTTTTATGTTCCCCGTATCAGGATGGAGTCTTGAAAGAATGGGATGCGGAGGCCTAGACGCCACATTAACAGACTAGGCCCTTGAAATACACATCCATGTGAATGTTTACAGCAAACCTGTATGCTTAAACTGGATACATACACATGCGTACATGATTGATTAAACTGTACCTGATTAGAGATACTACTACTGTTTTCACTAACCACCAATGGCTTGAACAGAAAAGATCAATTGCATCAAAGAAAGTCAATATATTACAGCTTTACATAAGTAAATTCATTTTGATCATACGGGCCGAAATAGGACATGTCATGTACTAGGAAATCACTGAGAAAGACGAGTAAGCATATCAATAAGGCACTGTGACACGAACCCAAAAGCTTGAGTAATCTCCTTCTTGACATCCTTCTCATAAGGAAGCCTCCCCTTAAGAACACTTCTAAATTTGTCCTTGTGTTCATCATATCTGCATTTTATAATCATGTTATTTCAATCTTCGTAATGGAAGAATTGGTATTGGAATATAACCAACTGTAGAACCATAATACAGATAGAAATTAAAAGGGGAAAGGAAAGAAGTACATCTTTTTAAGTTTCTTCTTGCACTTTTCCAATTCATCCTTCTTCAGTTCTAATTTTACTCTGTCATCAGCATCAGTAGTTATGTTATCTTTCTCCCGGTGAAGTGCTTTTATCTTGTGGTCCAAGGCATATATCTCTGGGCGCTTCTGACTTATAATCAAATCGTAGTCTCTTTCTCCCAAGGCAATTGTCCTCTTCTCGACCTCAATTTGCTATTCAAATCACAATGGGACAACTTACTTATTTAGAATTAAGAGTGTTAAACTTAGAGAGAGAACAAATTAACCTTGCAGACCAGCCAAGTACAGCTATACATCGATAGATATATCCAATGGACAACGATAGTTAGGTCAACTAAATACCAAATGCCGATCTCTTTCATCAATACGGGCCAGATTATGCTTTGAAAGCTCCATCTCTGCAGCATCTCGTTCAGTCTCTTTATCTTTCATACGCCTTAAAACACCTATCTGGAAAGTGTTTAATATATCATATCAAAAAATGGTATCTGATATATCAGTTACAGAATATCATATGCGTGCAAGTCCTCCATTACTAACCTTAGATTCTTTCTTAGATTGTATCTGGCCATCAACTTCAGAGTAGCGAGCATTTACTTTGAGATAACGTCCCCAAAGAAACTCTAACTGTGTCTCATTAGATTTCTGCTTAAGAAAAGGAACTTGATTACTAAGGGACATACTTGATAAGAATGCACGTTTTCAGCATTGACTCATTCCTAATTAATTGCATGTACTTGCACGGATGCATTGAATAAAGGCTAAAGCAAGCAACCTTGCATGAGCATATCAGACGGTCATGGAACTGCTGAAACGCCAAACAAAAATAGGCAGCGAAATGACTCCCTAGAAAATGTTTGGTACTATTAAAAAAATCAGAAAGTTCTAATGGAAGTGTTTACTTTTGCGACTAAATTCCAAAAAATATGAAGAATAGGCATTATAACCTTCTTTTCCTGCAAATCGTCCTCGAGATTCGATAGTCTTGCTTTAGTCCTGTATGTAAGGTTCGCAGCAATATCATTAGTAAAAGGAGCATCAGGAATTGGCCCGAGATTATATTTATTGAATATCTTTCTGATGGCTGAGTCTCGTTCGTGCTTGACCGACACGTGAGCCTGAAAACAACATATTTCTATTTAACCTCGTACCACAGTGCCCACTATTATTAAAGAAATGGTCAAGCCATTCAGAAAAGAAAAGGATTGCAGCATTACATCAGCTTCTGCCTGGAGCTTCCCTATTTGACGTGTTGAATCATTGATGGTCTCAGATAGCAGAGAGATTTTTGTATATTCATCATTCATCTCTCGTTCAAGTTTACCGATTTTCGTATACAGTATCGTAATTTTTTCTTCAAATGTTGTTTGCCACTCCCTCAGTTCCTCATCGGTATCTAAATGAAGCAAGGTAAACTGTCGCTATGCTGTGAAGGAGCCATTAGAATTACTGGCATGATGAGGAATTGCTGACCTTCATTTTCCTCAGAAAGGGCAGCATACTGTTGCTGCTGAAGTGTTAAATATGTACTTCTAGCTGTTGCCTTGGTGCTAATTTGCTCCTGAAGTCTCCTCAAGTCCATGATACTTGTTTCGGTACGACGGATTTTGTTTTCGACAGCCTGGATGTTTGTTTTCAGGTCCTCCATTTGAGTTTTTAAGGCATCTGACTTCTCTTGATCTTGCGCAATACTGTCCCGAAGCTGTGAAAGTAAGGGAACTAAACTAGCATTAAAAGCAGCATACCCTTTAAAAAATTAAACTAAACTGCAGCGGAAGTGTAGAACAGATAGATCTTCAGTGCACAGTTCAGTGTGGCTGCACATGAATACTGACATGAGCTGGGAAATGCAGTAATTAGAAAATGAGCTGGGAAGTATGACAACGAAAGAGTAAAGGCAACAGAAATGAAGTAGTCTACTAGGGTAATGTGAATTGTGAAGTGTTGTAATGAATCGCTGTCACCTTATGACAGGGATGTTATTTGTATATCACATATATATCCCCCATGGCAGTAAGCCAGTAACACAACAAAAATTAGAATTCTACAATCATGAAGATACAAATTACCATGTATGATACGCATGCTTGTGCGTATTCTAGAAAAAGATAAAAATTACCCTGTATACTTGATCTTTAAGAGTTTGAAGGTTCTCCAGCTTTAACCTAAAAGTCTTGATTTCTTGTGCTTGGTCCTTCTGAAGTTTCTTTATGACTTCGAGAGCTTTGGTATAGCTGTACATTAGATTTGGAAATTAAGGTAGTGAGAAGCTAGTTTTGACATCAGCCCCACACTCCCACAGAAACATTAACCTCCATAAAGGTGGAGACTACACCATCTTAAACATATTGCAACAATCAAATAAGATGGCCTTCACCGGAGCTTCCAAATTACTGAGTAAATAGTAATGCATTCATGTACCGGGTAGCAGAAAAGATGTCGTCAAACTTTTTCTTAAGTGTTGACGGGTCCTGTAACGGCCAATTGGATTCGTCTTGGTGCACAAATATAACATTATCCAATATAGCCTTCGAAACACCCATTAAGGCTGGAATCTCCCTATCCATATCAGCACATTTGTAGCTGAGACAAACCTTCTGAGCTCAACAAGAAAAAACAATCAGTGAGGATATGAGTTTATATCAGCAGTATTCTCTAAAAGCTGATAGCCTTCTAGTGATACACAACTTAAGTACCCTACTATACCGGTACCACTTGGAATCAATCAAAGAACAGCTGTGAAAAATCTATTGTGCAGATTCAAAATTTCCGTTCTCAAGATTCTAATGAATTGATTTTTTTTAATGTGTATATCTATCAGTCTACTTGAAGTTGTGGATGAATATAATGTGTAAAAAGCAGAGGAGTGTTCTAGAGAAGACTTTCTATGACCAGACGCAAGCACAGCAAGGAACAGAGTAAATCGTATGCCCTTTCAGGTATTGGAAAATTTACATGGTTCACAGGACATGTCAATGGTCTAATCCTTTTGATATACCTCTGTCCAAATGGGGTAAAATATTATTTAGTTTCTCCTTCAGTATACAGAGACATGTACAGCAATAGCAAGTATCAACTACAATAGCCAAGAGGTGCTTGGTATGTTCAGTAACTCATACTCCCTCCGCAAAGAAATATAAGGGTGTTTAGATCACTACTTTAATTATCTAAATGCTCTTATATTTCTTTACAGAGAGAGTATCATATTAATGATACTCGAGTTAGAAACAGGAGCAGATGCAAGATTACTTTTTTAGATTGCACCTAGTGTCATGAGCCGTATTTAAGTACATTATGGCAATATAAATAATAAACATCATCTTTATAGTTAGAAAAGGGGACCTCGCCCGTGTGTGGATTTATGGTCTGGAGGACGCTCTCGATTGCCTTAAACTCCATCTTTGACGCCTTGTGGGTAAACTCCATCTTAAGATAGTGCTGTATTACCTTGGGGTCATGGACGAAGGTGTGGCCGGAGCGGGAGTTGGGGGGCAACTCGCCGGTGCAGGACAGCTTCAGGCACTCGATGATCGTCTGCGGGAATCCAAAAGAACCCAAGCCATGAATGTGCTACGCCACACAGTGGAATATACTACTAGGATGCAGTAGATTGGATTGGTGGGCATTACAGTTTTGCCGGCTCCGTTGGATTCCTTTGGATTCTGTATGGACTTTGGGGATTTTGGCCTCTTGGGGTTTAGGGTTTGGATTTTGCGCCGGTTGCTTCGCGTAATCGCGTGTCTTGCCCTGCGATTTATTTATTTTCTTGATTGAGATGGCGCCATTTCATCGTGCGAAGGAAGATTCACTTATTTTATTTATTTTTTAAACAGAGGCAAAAACTTTGCCTCATCTCATGATTAGAGGAGAAGAGGAATAAGATAACGGACCCTAAAAAAATGGAAGCAAAAAAGCCTACTCTCGCGACATGATTGAGCTCAAATATTTTGCCACGTGGAGAACACAATTTTTGATCTCCCCTTTAATGTTATCAACGACAATATAGGGCATCTTTATTATGGAAGACCCTAGCATGTCTCTCTTTTCCAAACCTCCTATGCCACCAGCATGAGCAACGACGAGACCGTCTTCCTCCTGTGGCCACGGCGATGAACCATCGCGTTCCACCAATCTTGGACCGAATTTAGCACTCCTAGAATAGCAATGGGAACCGATTTTTTCACGTTGTTTTTTTACTTCAAATAGTTTATTTTAATAAAAATATTCACTTATTTTAAAAAGATTGGAAATTGGAAAATTGTTGACGAATAAAAGATGTCCGTTAACTCAAAAAATATCCACGAATTCAAAAGGTGTTAAAAATATTTGCGAATTCCAGAAACGTTCATGACTCAAAAAATGTTCACGTACTGAAAAGAATGTCCATGGATTCCAAAAATACACACGAATTCAAGAAAAATTGTTCATGGTGAATTAAAAAAATCTTCATGGATTCCCAAAATGTTCATGAATTCAAAATATGATTGTGGTGAGAAAATGGTCACGAATTCAGAAATGTTTGTGTATTTGAAAAATGTTTCCGAATTCACAAAATGTTCACGAACTTGAAATATATTCGCGGTGAATGAAAAAAATGTTCACAGATTAAAAACAATATTTGCGCATTCAGAAAATGTTTGTGCATTCCAAAAATGCTCGCGAATTGAAAATACCATCCTGGCTGATTCAAATACATATTCACGAATTCAAAAAAATGTTCACGGATTCAAAAAACACAAAATCATAAAAATGTCCATGAACTCAAAAAATGACTGCTAAGTCAATACATTTTTGTAACTTAAAAGGTATTCAAGAATTTAAAATATTTTTAGTTTTTTTTTTCATTTTTTGTAAAGCATTAATGAATTGGAAAAGAAAATGAAAGAAAAAGGAGAAGAAAGCACAACGAAATTAGAAAATAGAGTCGAAAAACCGATAAAAAAAAGCCTGGAAAACTGGCTGTGAAAACAGAAAGAAAAGAAAAAATAACGAAGCTTCCCTAAACCGATGCTGGAAACATTAAAAATATGTTTATGGATTCAAAAAATGTTCGCGGAATCATTTTTTTTTTTGCAAACTAGCAAAATGTCCACAAAGTCAAAAAAAAAGTTTGTGAACTTAAAAAATATTTCCGAATTTAAAATATTGTTTTCCAACAAGTATTAATGAATTTTGAAAGAAATAGAGAAGAAAGGGAAACGAAATGAAGAAGAAACAAAAAAACAGATAATAAAATACCGATCAAGAAACCCTGAAAAACATGTTTAGGAAACACAAAGAATAAAAAAGTAAAAACCATCTAGAAGCTTCCAAATGCGTAGTGTAGGTATGATATGTGGGTTTTTTCTTCCCTTTTTTCACACTGCACAAAAATCCCAAAGATGCCCAAAACATGTTTACAATTTTTTTAAAATTCAAAAATTCAAAATGTTTGTGAATTTTGAAAGTGTTGAGGAATTTGAGAAACTAGTCATAAATTTAGAAAATGTTCATGAATTTAAAAGAAACCACGATTTTGAAAAATGAAGGTGAATTTGAATAATGTTTTTTGAATTTTTAAAAAATCACGAATTTGAAAAAAAATTGAATTGGAGAATATTCACAAATTTTGAAAAAATGTGGTTTTAAAGAATGTCCAAGGCTCTAAAAATGATTAAAAAATGGAAAATTGTTCTTGGATTTGAAAATGTTCATCAAATTCAAAAATAAGAAAGGACAAGAAAAATGGGATAAAAAGAAAAGGAAAGAGAAATCTGAAAATAAAATTCCTAAACAGAAAAATGATGAAGAGAAAAATAGAACAAAAATAAAGAACGAAACCTTCGACAACCTTTACCGAAAATGGCTTTCGCCCTGTTTTATTGATAAAGCAAACCACCACAGCCACAATGTCCAACACAAGTTCAAACCGCACGCGCGCGCACACACACACACACACACGAAGGCTCAGTACAGACGAACACACAGAGAGTATAAGAGGGTTCTGCTGAGGGCACAACTCAACAAGCACTAAAAAAGAAAACACAAGTTGTAGCACATGCCACAAGGGTCTAATCCCACTCCGAGGGTGGTGAGGGGAGCGGCGGCGCCAAGCGGAGAGACATCAAGCGGAGATTTGCAATGATGATATTGATGGCATCTCGGTCCGGGGGGTGGCTAAGCGACCGCCAAACCTACGAGCAACGACACATTTTGAAAATCGCGTCAGTGGCATGGCGCAGGGGAACGTGTTGGATGACAAGACGATTGCGGACGGTCCAGAGCGTCCGTGCTAGGACCCCTGTGGCCAGCCACGCTATGTGGTGTGCGCGGTGGGGAGTGGCCTTGATTTTCTCGAAGAGGTCGGGGAAGTTGGTGTTGCACCAACGCCCACCCACGACATCTCTGAAGCAGCTCCACAAGAATTGTGCCAACATACACGTGAAGAAGATGTGGTTCGAGTCCTCCTCTGTCCCACATAGAGGGCATAGGCCGTCTCCAGGGCCATTTCGCTTGAGCACCTTCACGCCAGAGGGAGTACGGCCTCGGATCCATTGCCACAGGAATATCTGAATCTTCAGGGGGAGTCTAATCTCCCAAACCTGCGCAAAGGGCGCCGGGGTAGGCGTTGGCGCAATGGCCGGGTAGAGCGACTTGATGGAGAACCGTCTGAAGGGATCCAAGCGCCAAGAGATTATACGAGTCTCTATCAAAAGAGTCTCATGCCCCGCTTTATATATAAAGCAACGATCATACAAATACATCCATACAACACTACAATACAATACACGCACACAAGGCTAGATACAAGGGTGTTAATGAACAAGTACACTACCCATAACACTCCAAGCAAACTACACGAGGAAGCCGCTTAAAGTCTCCGGAGCTCTCAACCACCGCAAAGAGACGGAGTCGAGTACTCCAAAGTGGCGCCGTCAAGAAGGGCACGACACAGGAACGCCGCCACCGTCTGATCCAAGGACCAAGATTTCCCTCAAAGCAATATGAAGGACGAAGAGTAACTACGACGACGCCTTCAAGAAGGAAATGACGTCCATAGGCGCCGCCATCGTGGCGACCGAGAGGGGGAGGCCTTTGGAGTGCAAGTATTTTCTGGCACAGAGGTGTCAGAAGTAACGTTTCATTTATTCAATCTTTTTTTTTGGAAAAACATTTTTTCCAATCTTACTTCACAGTCAACCTCTGTCGTGCAACCCAATATAAGGAACCAGGTAAGCGCGTGTCTCTGTGTATACTAAAGCAGTTTTATAGATATCCTGGTGATGTGCACTGATTGTCGCTTTCACGTTTGAATGGTCGGTGCAGACTGATAAGATCTAAGCTGAGCACAACTCTGCAGAAGAAAGCAACACAAGCAGGTTGCCACAAGTTATGTTCCGTAGGAACCCATAAAGAGTAGCTTCGACGTCGAAGAAACCTTCTTCCTTCAGATCTCACGCCATGGCGGTCCTCATATCCTCCGTTGCCTCCAAAGCCTTGGCGCTCTACACTCCGGGGATTTCTCGGCATCGAAGGAGCACAGTTTCATTTGCATCGTCTCATCGCCCGCGGATCCTTGCCATGAACTTCTGGGGCGCCAACCATAACCTGCCGATCAGGAGAGCAACACAGTAAGTGCCTTCTTGTTCTTAGGATGCGGTTACTGTACAAGATCGTTCAGTATATTTCACGTGTTGTTTTCAGAATCCCTGCAGCTGTTCCAGGCCCAGAAAGTTTGCCAAGAGTAAATCTCCCTATGTCCAACATGCCTTCATGGTGAGTGCAGAGGGGTTACGGTTGCTCTTGTTTCGTCGATTTCCTTCTCACGTTCACAGGCTATGTGGTTCTCTCAGGATGACCTTGGTCGTTGGTGCAGTCCTTGTTGCGATACCTATTTACAGAAAGATAAGAGCATTGGAAGGTAAAATCTGAATCAGATATGCACGACTTCTGTACATGTTACCTGTCGATCTTAGCGTGCATTTTCATCTCAACTTGTGTCTGTGGTTGTAATTATAAATCGCATTTGTAGATAAGGTGGAGAAGACGGCAGAGGTGGCGGTCGAGGTAATGGACACGGTGGCCGAAGCTGCCGAGAAAGTCGCCGGCGAGGTGGCCGAGGCGTTCCCCGAAAATGAAGGCCTCAAGGAGGCAGCGTCCAGGATCAAGACCGTCGCCGATGCGATCGAGGAGGATGCCGAGTTAGCCGAGGCCCTAATCCATAAGGTTAGGTTGATTGCCTAGTTTATTACTTGCACGTTTTGGCTTCCTGTGAATCCAAAGCTGAAAGTTCCTCAACGTTTACACTACGGCAGCTGCTGATGTTCAGTAGTGTTGCTTAACTAGGTCATGGCGCAGCCGTGCAAGTTACCGGCCGTTCCATGCTATATCCGCAAGTTAGAGATGCGTGTTGACTTCTAGAGTTATAGGGACAAGCATGTTTTTTTTGCGGGTAATAGGGACAAGCATGTTAAGCAGCGTTGCTACACTACTTGTGTAGCGGATATCCAATTCGGCTCCGGATAGCATTTGCTCCTGCGTGTTAAAAATGTTTCTGCAAATATTAAAAGACCACGAAGAAAAATTAGACATGTACATGTCCATGTCTAAATGTTATCTGCAAATGCCCAGGGAAAAAGCCCAATCATTTTTAACTTGTGCAGAAAATCAGGCTGAGTGCCCCATTTTTGGCACTTCTAGACCACTGAATCTTGTTTTTTTGGCCGACCAAACAAAATTGTCCAGTTTCGCGTGAAAAATGTCAAGCACGCATTGGACACTACAAGAAGATGTAGAAACATCAGACTTCTTTAAATTTGTTTGACATTCATTCTGAATTTACTGTTCATTTGCTCCGGAGGGCTAAAACGTCATGCTAATAGCATTAGATGGAAGCTAGTAAATGTGATGATATTTGTTTTTATGTAGAGGGTATAAATGAAACTCTCTCTATCTTTCCTGGTTAACGCAGGTTGATGAGTTAACGAAAGAGATGGATTCCGTGGTCGGTCCTATCATCGACGTGGTCATAAAGGAGAGTGGAGAAAGAGGAGTCGTAGATGAAGAACCCAAGAGTAAAGAATCGGACAACATATAAGAAACATGTCTTACCGGCAAACAAATATAACTAGTCGTCAACCGTGCATCCGCATGGGTGTATATAACTATATATACAATGTCGATAAATAACCAGTAACAGCTCAAGTTCATCATTATCATTTGGCCCTTGTCTCATAGTCATGAGTTTTTGTTTCAGTACAGAATTCTAGAAAACGCATATATTGAACTGATTGTGTTTACAAAGAGGTAAATACACGAGATACGTTAGAGCATGTTGGTTTGATGCCAAAAATTGGCATGTCAATATTTGACAAATGCCAAATGTTGGCTAGTAATTGGTTGACTACCAATTTTGCTTGCTAAGAGCATCTTCAGCCGTTGCCCCCCCCTCCCCACAGGAGGCATAAAAATCGTCGCTTAGGGGCGAGCCGGCGGTATAATCGGTTCTGAGGGCGGTTGGGCACCCTGCCGTCGCCCCCAGGCGCCGATGTCGGCCCAGTTTTCGGCCTACTTTCGGCGAAAATTGACCCGGTATCGGCGAGAATCGACCCATATTCAGCATGGTACGGCATGAATTCTCAACATAAATAATTTTTTATCACGTAGTTCATCACAGAAAATCAATAGAAATCAAATAGTTCAAAAAATAGTGCAACAAAAAATAGTTCAATACAAATTATATAGTTCAACAAATAAAAACTCATATTTCATCACACGTCGAGTTAGGCGTCGCCCTTGATTCTTCATAGATGCTCCACCAGATTCTGCTATAATTGTTGATGCACCCGTGGGTTTCGGATCTCCAGACGCATATTGAGGTAGGCAGTCCAGGTTGCCGGTAGCTGGTGATCAACTTGGGCAAAAGGACCCTGCTTGTAGTATGGTTCGGTGTCAAACGCTGGCTCTTCCTGCTCGCTCTCAATGATTATATTGTGCAAGATGACACAACAAGTCACGATCTCCCACATTTGATCTTTCGACCAAGTCTTAGCAGGGTACCAGACAACAGCAAATCGAGATTGGAGCACACCAAATGATCGCTCGACATCCTTCCTGCAAGCCTCCTGAACCTTGGCAAAATGGGACTTCTTGCCTCCTGGCACAGCGTTTGAGATAATCTTCACAAATGTCGACCATCTTGGATAGATGCCATCAGCTAGGTAGTACCCCTTGTTGTACTGCCGCCTATTGACCTCGAAGTTCACCGGAGGAGAATGACCTTCGACAAGCTTGGCAAAGATAGGGGAGCACTGCAGCACACTGATGTCATTGTGAGTTCCTGACATACCAAAAAGGAGTGCCAAATCCAGAGGTCCTGTGTGGCCACCGCCTCAAGTACCACACTGCAACTGTATTTGGCGCCTTTGTACATCCCCTGCCAAGCAAATGGGCAGTTCTTACATTTCCAATGCATGCAGTCGATGCTTCCAAGCATCCCAGGAATTCCTCTTGCTGCATTCTGTGCTAGGATTCGAGCAGTGTCTTCCGCATTGGGGGTTCGCAAGTATTGCGGTCCAAACACTACCACCACTGCCCAACAGAATTTGTAGAAACACTCAATGGTGGTGGACTCAGCCATGCGCCCATAGTCGTCGAGTGAATCATCGGGAGCTCCGTATGCAAGCATCCTCATCGCCGTCGTGCACTTCTGGATTGAGGTGAATCCAAGTTTGTCGGTGCAATCCTTCTTGCACTTGAAGTAGTTGTCGAACTCCCGGATGGAATTCACAATCCTGAGGAAAAAGCTTTCGGCTCATTTGATAACGACGCCGAAATACTTTGTCGCCGTGCAGTGGAGCGTCGGCGAAGTAGTCGGGGTAGAGCATGCAGTAGCCTTCGAGACGATGCTGGTTCTTTGCTTTCATCCGCCCTGACGCCGAGCCATCTCGCCGCGGCTTTTCATTGCTCACCAGCAGGTCGGCGAGGGCGGCGAGGACCATGCGATGTTCCTCTTCCTGAACGTCGGCATCGGCTTCCTCCTCCAGCAGCGCGGCGAGCGCCTCCTCGTCGTCCGAGTCCATTGCCGAGGCAGGCAAATCGCCAAACACCTTGCGGGCGAGGTGGGCGCACACCCGCCGGTACACTACCCCTCCGTGGCCGAAACGCCGAAAAAATCGCCCAAACGGTGGTGGAGAGGCTGCCTTGGCGAAACCTCTACTCTTTTTCCGGCGGGGAATGGCCTATCTAGCGGTGATGGGAGGTGGGCGACGCCTGGATCAGCCGGGTGGCGGCCGAGCGCGCGGGGGTGGGAGACGAATCTGGACGATAGGCTTGACTTTTTGCCCAACGGTGTGGGGCAGGCATGCTTTTCCCTTGCTCCAGAGCCCCCGAGCGCCCCTAGTGCGCCGGGTTCGGCTTGCGATCGCGCCCAAAAATAGGCCGAGCCGGCAGATTTCGACGTCCTGAGACGCGACTAGGACGTTTTTTCGGCGCCGGAGGGGAAAAAATCGCATGAGGGCCTATTGAGGACACGGCTGGAGATACTCTAACCTCATAAAAACTTGCCAACTTTTCATTTTTGTCAAATGTTGACTTGTCAAATATTGGCAATGCCAGATATTTGTATCAAACCAATTATCTTAGAACTTGCGTGTGGCGATTAGTTTGGTACACAAACTTGTAAAATGTGTGATTCTAGTTCTTAAACTTGTGTGGGCGTGCAAATATGATCACATTTCGCATTTGTGGATGTATCCGCTGCCTGCGTGGCACACCAGCGTGACCAGGGCCCACTGTCAGTGGCTGATAGCGGTGCATGTGATGTCTATTTTTTTTCAGAAAGACCTATGGATTTTTTTTAACTGGTCATTGGCTGAGTTCCACACCACTGTACTGTGTAAATAAAATTAGGCAGGAAAAATAGGCCGGGTGATAATTCAACCAGTTTTTTTTAGCAAAGATAATTCAACCAGATGACCTGATGCACTAGCGCGGGCATCCTAACCACCACACCTGACAATTCTTCATGCCTAATACTGAACTATCGAGATATACTCCTTCCGTCCCATAATATAAGAACGTTTTGCCATTAGTCTCACTAGACTAATGGCAAAATGTTCTTATATTATGAGACGGAGGGAGGAGTATATTCTTTAGTGTAAAAGTACACAGTAAAAATGCATTTTATGAATGAATAAAAGAAGAGCCGGGTTAACCACCAGACAAGATGACAGTTGATGTCTTAAATGAGATAAATTTACTTTTTAAACGAGGCTGGGCGAATTTTTTTCAATTCATTCAATAAATTAGGTTACATTCATTCTGAACTATATTTTCTTTTATCTAGGTTTACAAATTCAAAAATATTTGAATTCAACAAAAACTCTATTGATTTGTCCAAAAGAAACTTACCTTTACATTCATTTTGAACAATATTTTCTTTTATCTAGATTATTAAATATAAAACTATTCAAATTCAAAACAAAATCATTGATTTGTCCGGAAAATTTACATACGTTCATTCTGACCTATATTTTCATTTATCTAGATTTTTAAATTTTAAATTACTTGAATTCATACAAAAACTTTATTGATTTGTCTGAATCAATTTACGCACATTCATTCTACACTATATTTTCTTTTATATAGATTTTTAATTTAAAATTATTCTAGCTCAAACAAAAAATTTCTGATTTGTACTAAAGAAATTATGAAACTTTGATCATTTCAAGGGTGAGTGATTTTTTTTGGATGGTACAAAACTTTCTTTTAAACTAAAAGAACATTTTTGTAGATTGTATATTTTTTTCAAAATGTTACAAACATTTTTCTGAAATACGTGAACATTTTCAAAATGCAACATACATGTTTCTAATTACACAAAAATATTTTTTTATAATGTTTATACATTTTTTAAAAAGATTACGTACATTTTTTGTAATGCATGATCCTTTTTAAATGCAACAACCATCATAATATAAGTTCTTTTCTTATATAGAACAAAAGATATGGCAACAAAAGAATGTTTATCCCGATATGATATTGGGTTGCCTTAGAGCAACTCTAGCAGACCCCGCAAAGCGCCCGGCCTGCAAAAATTCCGGCGAGTATACGGGCTCGGGCCAATTTTGCGGCCAGAACAGACCCCGCATACTCGCCCGGCCCGCAAAAACTTTTGCCGCAGCCCGCAAACCGCCCCCCCCCTCCGAGCGTTATAAGTGCGGTTCCGCGACCCTTTTGCGGGTCCAAACCCTATCCCCCGCCGCCGCGAGCCACCCGATTCCCCTTTCTCCTCTCCCAATTTCTCGCCGCCGGCGACCCTCCGCCCCGCCTCCAGCCGCCATGTGGGGGTGAATGTGGAGCTCCGGACACGGCTCCGGCAGCAGATCCGGCCGGGAGAGGGACCCGGAGCGCGAGCGGCACGTCCGGTCCGACGGTGCGAGGAAGCGCGGCGCGCGGAAGTGGACCAACCGCGGGCTTTCGCCGCCGAAGAGCTTCGACCATCGCGAGACGGTGGAGTAAGACCGCCGGCGTGCATCGTTCTCCTCCGCGCGTTCTTCGTACGCCGGATCCTCCTCCTCCTCGGCCGCGGGCTTCCTCCCCGTGAAGAGGGAGCGGTCGGACGAGGAGGAGGAACCGGAGCCGCTGGCGCCGTTCGCCTTCGTCCCGGTGAAGGAGGAGCCCGAGGAGCCCGCTCTGCTCGGCCGCCATGGAGTCATCGGGCCCGAGGACTACGTCGTGGAGTTCGACACCGTCGTCGCCACCATCGCCGAGCGAAGCGTGCGCGAGGAGGAGGAGCGCCGACGCCATGCCGAGGAGCTCGAAGCCCTCGAGTGGCGGTAGGCGGTCGCCGACAACGTCGCTGCCAACGAGAAGGCGGACGGCGCCGCATCCGCAAGGAGCAGTCGGAGAAGTACATCGATCTCTACAGCTCCGGCGAGGAGGATTGAGCGTCCGGCTTCTCTCCGGCGTCGTCCAGTTGTCGCGACCTCGCCGCCGTCAGATCCGACCCCCTAGTACTAGTTTAACGTAGTATGTAGTATAACTAGGCTTGTAGTTTGTGATCAACTATGTAGTATGCCATGAACAATGTAGTAT